AGGATCAGCAAAATGGCTTTAAACATGTCTTAATGTCAAGAGTTTGTCATCCAAGGCTCTACCCAGCATGGGTCCGGGGCTACCAGGCTTTGTTTGCGTTGCTTTGAGCTGCTTCTTCAGAGGCCGTATCTGCCTTCTGTGAAAGTTTAAAGTTTCAAAGTTCCACCCATCCGTGTGGGCACACAGTGATGCTAATGATAAGGTCGGTTGGAGTGGCCTGGTGGTGATGTCATGGGGATTAAGGCATGTTATCTGTAATAAGAATACACCCCCACTGCTGAGTGCAGCTGCACACAGCACCAGCCTTGGGCTGGGCATGATTCTCAGAGCTGATTTTAGAGTCAAATGAAAGCAGGCAATTATCATGTTCTTTAACTATAATCAGCCGAGCAGGATACAGGTAGCCGCAAAATGGAGTTATTTAAAACAGTAACAAAATCACTTCAAAAAGGGTAATAATCTGGAAGTCTCTTTCTGCAACATCTAGTTAAAGCTGTCCAAGTGTGGAGAAGACGGGGAAGGCTTATTTTGTAACCTCCTCAATGGCAATAGTATCGGGAAAGCCTCCTTTTGAAATAGAGGAGTGGGGGACAAGGGGAGGGAGAGCCTTAGGACAAATACCTCATGCACATGGGGCTTAAAACCTAGATGATGGGTTGATAGGTGCAGCAAACCACCATGGCACATGTATTCCTATGTAACAAACCTGCACGTTCTGCACATGTATCCTATAACTTAAAGTAATGTTTAAAAATAAATCAATAAATAAAAGACAGGAACCTTGGCCTGGGGGCTGCCCCGGAGCAATTTAGTTTAGCCCCAACACGTAAACTAGAGCCTTTGAAAATGATCCAAGGAGAATCCTGAGTTTCCTGCCATCTGTCAGAGTAGTTACCATGGTAAGAGGTATTCACAAGCACAGCCAACTGGTCCAGTCTGGCCTGGTGACTCCTCATTAACCCTTCAGCTTGGGTTGAAAGTTGATTCTGGACATTGGTTATGAGACCTTATCTTGGGCAGCATTTCTTGTGACATTCCAATAAGACCCTGAGCTGGGGAACAGGTCTGAAGTCTAAGCATTTCTTAGAATCTACCAGATCCTGCTTCTGAGCAGAGAGCAAAAGGAGGTGGATTCAGCTTGGCCCCCTACTACATCTGGCTCTGTCACCAGTGATCTATGTGAATTTGTGAATATTTATGTAGGCTGGCTAAGACTTGGTTTTCCCCTCTGTAAAATGGAGATGATTATAATCTATCTTGTAGGGATGTATATAGAGGAGTACTTGGCTTTTGGTTGCTAAACAGAGTTCAGTAGACATCAGCTGTTGTTATCATTGCCCTCCGCTAAGAAACCCATGGACAGAAGTTCCTGCATCATCTCTTGGTAACACCACACAGCTTCTGATGGTGTCCTTGTATTGCAGTAGCAAGCATGGATTTTGCTCTGCATTGTCTGTGCCAGTGAGCTAAGAACACCAGGAGCCTTGTTCATCTTTCAGCCAGCTGGGTAATGCCTGTGTCAATTCCCATTGCATTAAACACCAGCCCATTAATTAGTAGTGGCAATGAAAAGATACCAATAATTATAACAGCAGCTATAGCCATGCTTCCTGTTGAATACTTCCTGTCTAGCAGGCACTGTGCTGAATGTAACACATAGATAACTTTATTTAACCCTGTGACCACCCTATAAGGTAGCCATTATTCTCACCATTTCACAGATAGGAAAATGAGGCACCAAGAGGGTTAAAAAGACATTGTTATAAGTGGATGAGTTAGGATTTGAGCTCAGGTATTACTGACTTCAAAGATGGCATTTTCACTGTGTCACACTGCCTTCCCTTGAGCCTTTGGGAACAGCGCAGCTTTAAGAGCCCAAACGCTAACGAAGAATAAAATCAGTCTTCTGTTGTAAGAATCTTAACAAAGTTGGCACACTTAGAGCATTTTTCAGTGTACTTCTACACAGCTGGTTATTTAGATCTCAGAACGTCTCTGTAACTGTTTAATAAGTCAGGAAACGAAGCCTTTGAAGAGTATCAGCAAGCTGCTCAACAATGCACCCTGGAGACCGAGCACGGTGGCTCATGCCTGTAATCCCAGCATTCTGGGAGGCCGAGGCAGGCGGATCACAAGGTCAGGAGATCGAGACCAACCTGGCCAACGTAGTGAAACCCCATGTCTACTAAAACAACAAAATTAGCTGGGTGTGGTGGCATGCGCCTGTCGTCCCAACTACTCCGGAGGCTGAGGTGGGAGAATCACTTGAACCTGGGAGGCAGAGGTTGCAGTGAGCCGAAACCATGCCAATGCACTCCAGCCTGGGTGACAGAGAGTGAGACTTCATCTCAGAAAAAAAAAAAAAAAGAGAGAGAGAATGCACCCTGAATATACGGCAGGACCAACTTTTGAAACCATGGCCATTCTGCATCCATGGCTATGAGACTCCAAGTACATGCACGTTCCTCTCAACCCCATGCTGCCTCTCACCTGGCTCTGGCACATGTTTTAGCTGTAGAGACAGCGTTGGGCAGTGGGAAAAGGATAAGTCAATACCAATTCTTGACAAATGCTAGAAGGTCCTTGCAGGGGTACCTGTAGAAATCTCCTGAGTGAGGATGGAGATCGTGGCATGGCAGGCCAGTCAGGGACCAATTAGAGTTGTCCATTGTGGTCTGCAGTTGAGTCTGTGACATATCCCGGTGTCTGGGTTAGTGCTAGGACTGTGTCAATGGTGAGAGCATTTCTGTGAGAAGTTTGTGCGGGGACATCCCCAAGCCTAATGTTTGGCTGATTTATGGTCTTCATTTCTGTTTGTATAAACAAAGCTTCAAAGCTTCTTGCTTGCATCTGTGTAAGGAAAAAGCCAGAGGACAGTGAAGAAATACTCTGATGAAGAAAAGACCTTGAGGACTGGCTACGTGACCACTGGCATCCCCTTGGGCTTTGCTGCCCAAGGAGTGCTGTGTGCTGCCGCTGGTTAGGAGCTGGCTTTCATCTTTCATTTGGTCAAATGTGGCTGGTTTTCTGCTTGGTACCCACAAATGACTGTGTTTAATCCATTTATCAGTAATATCTGTAACTTACTGTCCAGATAAGGAGGCCTCCAGATCACATTTTGCAGTTGGCCCCTTTGTTGTCAGTTGTGTCGTCATCTGTGTAACATTCGTGCAATCAAGCAATCATTTATGCATTCACCCTTTTAAAACTGAATGCCTTCTGTATGTTGGGTGCTGTACTAGGTGCCAGAGGTAGGTGTGAAACAGAGCCAACACCAATCCTGCTGCATGGAGCTTTTACATCTAGAGGTCTTTCCAACACAGCAGTAAGTGCACTCAACATTAACCATTGTACTATTCTAGGAAGGAATTCCTGTGGGGAGAATTTCATCCAGTCATGTAGAAGCACATGTATTAAAGTGTTTAAAATCTCATCTGGCAGTTGTTATGTAACTCAGGCTGGACTTTACATGTCTCTCCTTCGGGGTGCTAGGCATGGTGGGAGGGGATGCCGAAGGGAAGGGTGGGAATGCCAGACTCCTTTGGCTATACCTTTCAAGCATGGGATAAGGTGTTCACGCCATCTAAATACTGGAACATGTATAGGGGCAAAGAGGGAGAGCTTGCCCCATCACCCCCCGAAGGTTTGCTGAAAATGAACTGACAAAGGGCAGGTGAATAGGAAAAAAAAGGCACACAAAATGTATTTTAATATGGACAACACGGGGAATCATAGTAGAATGGTTACCCAGTAACCCAATGGGGTACAGATGCTTAAATGCCCATCTTCATAGAGGGAGGGGAGAGGGGGAAATAGGGCTACTTGAGGGATAATAAATGACTTTGAGGGGGAAACGAGTGGGCCTACTGCTCAGACAATGGTTAGTAAATAATTTCAATGGAAGTTGAATGGGATGGAGAGCTGACAATGGTTGGGGAGAAGTTGGTCTGGGCTCTAGGTGTGGTGTTTAATTTTCAGTCTCTTCCTCTGTGATATGAGTTGTAATCTTCTCTTCTCTGGTGAATGAAATGTCAGGAAAGGCAATTGTATTCCTCTTTGGCAGATCTGGCTTTTAGGTAGAAAAGGGAACTTCAGAGAACAGCTTCATCCTGTGGTTTGGGAGAGACAGGATTAAGAGACTGAGGGGTAAGGGAGACAGGGAGCAAGGTCGGAGAAACCTTGAGACTGCTTCATGTCGAAGCACTGTATTTTAGGGTAATGGTTTCTGAGTCCCAACACATGCTACCAGAAATTGCCATTCACTTTTCTTTTGTAGAATTGTTGGTGGGGGAATTAAAGTACATTGAATAATGTTAAAGTAAAACATTTTTGCAACTGTGTAAAGGTCATAATGGGGATGAAAGCTTTACTTTTATCACCAATGTAGGAAAAAAAACGTCCACTTTGTTTCATAAGCTATGCTGTTTTCAAAATAAGATACATTCACTCTTATGGTGGTGACAATAAGGAGTAGGGATTACAATTAGTAAGCCACTGGTTTCCCACACATTTTCAATGTGCAGGGCTTATCCTGGTCCAAACCTGCTTCCTGGTGCTTGAGAAACACAGAATCCTGCCATGTTTTATCCCAAAGTGGCTCTTCTTGGTTCTCCTGTCCCTTGGAGATATGGCCCAAGTAAATTCCATCTGGGTCTTAGAATCCAGTTCAGAACAGCACATTCCCTTTGGAATATCTTGCTCAATGCAGACCATCCTTCTTCAGACCAAATGACTGTTACATCAAGTTAGATGGGTCCTCATCCCCTTCTACCCTTCCCAACACCTTTGTTCCCTTTGTTCTTCAGATTCCAAGTAATAACATGACTGTGCCTCCAGCACTGGCCTTTGTTGGGCTCCTTGTTCATCATCCACGTTAGAGCTGCGTGGTGTTTGTCACTGTTGCCCTTGATGATAGTGACTGCTCACCTTGTAGTACATAGCATCAGTTGGTTCCCATGTTTTCTCATTTAGCGAAGCTCCCTTCCATTTTTCTCCTATAGAATTACCCTTTATGACTACCAAGCCATGTGTAGAGCCAACAAGGAAAGCAGCGATGGCGCCCATGGCCTCCTGGATGTAAGTACTATGCTGTCACCCAGAAAACAGCTGTATATTTCTGTCTTTCTCCCTGTCTGAGTGTTATCTTCCTCTTTGGAGTAATCAAGTTTATCTTTTTGCAAAATCAGGAACATTTTTACTTTACTCATTTAAAAAAACACTTCAGGCCAGCCGCGGTAGCTAACACCTGCTATTCCAGCACTTTGGGAGGCTGAGGTGGCTGAATCACTTGGGGTCAGGAGTTTGAGACCACCTTTGCCAACATGGTGAAACCCCATCTCTACTAAAAATACAAAAATTAGCCAGGCATGGTGGCGTGTGCTTATAATCCCAGTTACTCAGGAGGCTGAGGCAGGAGAACTGCTTGAACCCGGAAGGCAGAGGTTGCAGTGAGCCAAGATCATGCCACTGCACTCCAGCCTGGGCAACAGAGCGAGCCTGCCTCTCAAAAAAAAAAAAAAAATTAAAATTAAAAAATGTCACTGCTGTTTCAACTCAAATCCAGTGATTATATGAGTGAAAAATGGGTCTAAATAAAGCCTTTGATGGATTAATGCAGCAACCCCCTTGTGATGGATAGAAAAAGGGAGAAGTTTTGTTAATTCTCCCATTTGTATGTAAAATAACTTGGTTTTGTTCAACAGAACTTTTCCTTTTAGTTTGTAATGGAGTTGTGAGCTTGTGTCCTAATTCCCATTTTGATCACAGATACTCCCTCTCCCCTAATCATGCCACCGGGTTTCAGCATCCGTTTCCCTGGAGCTGATTCCTTGGTGATGTCACAGATGAGGATCAATCAGCATAGCTATTGTGCCATTAGAAACTGGCTTTCAGTGGCCAGAAATTAACTGTTATCACTTACTCCCAAATTAAAAATGTAATTTACAATGCATAGACAATGTAAATTTGGCCAGCAATACCTAAAACCACAGGAAAAAAAAAAAGATCTCGTGTACCTCTGGATAGTCTGTCATATGTGTTTAAATATAACCCTTACAATGCTATTGTTTTGTAAATACCAAAAATTAACCTAAAATTTTGTTTGAAACACAACGTTTAAAAGCTGTTTTGGCTTTAAAATATATATACTTTCTAATTTGCAGATGTAAGATGTTACAAGGGGATTATTTAAAAACCAAATAATTAACACGGTTCTCCTACACTGAGGGAGCAAGAAATGATTCAGAGCTGGCACATTGGTGAGAGGCAACTTAAAGGGATGAATATTTTGAAAAATACAGCTTTTTAGTGAGACTCACTATGTCTTTCTAAACCCAACTCCCCTAACCTTAGCATGAATAGTTCCAGACATTAAACGTTCCTAAGGTATGTTTTCATCATTAGATTTAAAAGCTTAGTGGCTTTATGCTTTTAAATGATAATGTGCATTTAAATTTTTTAATCCCATATTTGCATAATCCCTTTGTTTACTCATATATTGAGCCAATGCCTGGCACGGAATGCCTTCCCCTGGCCTCAGAGCGAGTTGCCCCTGCTACTGCCCTCTTTCCCCCTCAACCTCCAAAGCTTCCTTAATCCTTTTATTTACTCTCTCCTCCCCCTGACCCACATTACCCATCCCAGCAGGTACAAAGACACAACATTGTCCCATAGTCTGACCACGCCGGTCTTTTTGAAAGCAAGATGATTATTTTTCAAGCCATAAAATGTAATGGCAGAACCGCAGGACTGCAAAGTGTGGTTTCAGGAAACTGTTAAAAGTTCACATCCTTATCTGACCCTAATCCTGGCGGCCCAGAACCCTGTGATTCAAGGAATGATGTGGAAGCACTCAGTCGAATCAGAGCAAGAGATACACCAAGTCTGAAATCTGGGTGGGCTTGGAAGAGCCTCAGCATTGTTGTTGTTGTTGTTCTGCACATTTACTTTCTGGCCGGACTGGGAAAGTTTTGAGAATGATTGGGGGCATGTAAATTTGTTCTTGTTTCGTTTAAAACTGGATAATTCCTCCATTCTCACTTCTAGTTCTTATAATTAAAATGCTCAGAAGGTGGGATTAAGCAGCTCTAGCTGCAGAGCCAGGATTTGGCATGCATTTCACTTCTCTGATATCTAAAGGCAACCACAGAAGGTTCTGAGATTCTTCTGGACCTGACATCTGGAGCCCAGAGCCCGGGATTTGCTAGTGTCATTGCCTGTCTCTCAAGTCCACGCCCCAGTCACATAACTGGCATAGCTAGGTACAAAGAACCAACTGAGGGGGAGACTTGGTATTTTCCAGAATTCAGGAAATTGAATTATCCACATAGGAAATATCACAGAGTAAACAATCCAACTGCTTTTTTTAATTAAAATATTCTGAAATAAAGATTAGGCTTTCAATGCCTTCTTTTATAGAGTGAAGGGGATTTTCAGCAAGGATAAAATCACATGTTTATATGGTTATCATTTTTTTCAAGTCCAAATATGTAAGTGTGAAAAAAGGCAGCTTAAATCCTACATAATTCATGGATGGCATTAAAATCAGGTGTACGCAATTTTTGCTAATTTTAATGAATGACATACAGTGATGGAGAACAGGGAATCACCTTTCCAAGAGGCTGCCCTGCAAATTACCATTTGAAATTAGTTATATGATTCCAGCCCCCTCAGCATTAAGCTTCAAAATATTAGCCCCTAGAGGGTAAAGGTTTAAGCATCAGGTGCTGAACTTCCTTTTTCCTCCTACTGATAACCCTTGTATTAGATCAGGTTTATTTTACTTGTAAATCACATCTCACTGGAGTGGAGTTCAAAGTTTTAAAATGTTGGTTTTAGGATACAGTATCCAACAATTTTCCCTTAGCTAGAACGCCACTGTTTTTTAACATGATATCAATCTCTCTAGAAGAATAACATTGTCCTTATGTAAAGCCCTAAATTAAGCTACAAATTTTGTGTGCAATACATTGTTTTTAATGTACTGAATTCTTCTCTTCAGCCTTATAATGCCTTCCTCTCTGCAGTAAAATGGATCATGACAGAACTTGTCGTGTAAGTAAAATCTGCCTTTTTGAAAAGGATTAATATTTTCCTTTTTGTATCATAAAGTGAACTTAGAGATTGTGAGTCATGCTTTCAATAACCGTTAGATTCCTAGTGCTCTAACTTCATTGAACAGCTCAAAATATTGAACACAGAGACCAAAAATGATCTTTTATTAAGTGATTCATGATCACTCCTTTGGCTATTATGTCATACTTTAGCAGATTAACAGTTTGCAATATACAACTAAATTTACTTATTGTGGTTACTGTTCAATTTCACATGGATGTCTGGCTGTTTTGACTGCAGCCTGGGTGGGCTGTGGTCAGAAGAGCACACTGCTGTGACTGTCCACCAGGCTACTTTGGCTGCCTTGGCCTGTGCAGGAATGGGAGATGTGTGAGATTGTCCGCTAGGGCTGGGGGCTTCCTCAGGTGTGATTTCATTGTTTTTCCTGTCAAACTATGGTCTTATTTGGAGGTGCTCCTTGCATCTATGACTTAAGTAACACTTGAAATGGCAGAAAGATGAAAGTCTTGACTTTCAGACTAGATATTAGACACATTACAGAAACACTGTGTCACACGAAAGGGAAGAATTTCATAGATGAACATGTAAACAAGATGGTTTAAGTTGCGCCAAACTCTCTCATTGTTATTTCCCCTGCTTAGACTCCACTTCTGTGGGTTTGAGGCAAATTTCATGCCATTTGATGGATAGTCACTGTCCTCTTAATTTAAGGTAACCTCTATTAATTTAATACAGTTTGTGAATTCAAATGGGAAGTAAATTCTCCATATACACATGAGGCAGAGAAAGAACCTTAACAATAATAGTGGGATTTAGATTGAGAGAGAGCTGCTAGGAATAGTAGCCATAAGCCTGAAAAACAAATGACCGAATTTTGATCTCTCTTCATCTATTTGGAGGATAATTTGTATTGTTTTTGTATTCTTTACCAGCCATTGAGAAATGTTGATTTTTATGAGGTTGCAGTGAGACCTAATTTCGTAGAGAGAAGTCTGTTCCACCTCCCTCTATACACACACACACGGAGGGGGCTTAAACAAGTTCAAGTAGCAGTATTCATTTTGAAAGCATCTTTCATTACTATAGATCATAGTCTTGGCAGAGGAGAATATTCTATCTGTATTTCTGAACTACGGGAGAAGAGGCTCATTAGAAATTGGCTTTTTACTGTGGAATCAAATTAGATGATACTAAGATTGAATAACTGGTGAACAATAACGAGGAAAGTATTTCAGCCTATACAGCAGGTTATTCCTCATCTAGGAATCTTTGAGTCCAGGTGAACCTGGCTTTGGGGATAAAATAGCCTTTCACAAGAAAGATAAACCCCAGTGAATATTCAGTGATAACTCAGCCAACTGTGTTGATTATCTGCAAATTGTGATGTTCTCAAATGAGGTAAGCGATGCTGAAGAATACAGAAAGTCACTGTTCTGTGATACAGGCATGGATGACGAAGTAACATTGGGCTTTTCCACGATCTGTTTAGGTTCCTGGTGGAGTTTAACCTCTGCAGTTGGTGGCACTCTGATATGACAGCTAAAGGTGAGCGGCAACTGGTTTCTGTTTCCCAGCTTGGAGGGATGAGCGCTGGGTTCACCGGCTACTTTTCATCAGGGATGTGCTGGCTCAGAAAATTCCCCAGGACAAAGTGATGATTTTTCAGCTCTGTCAGCAAAAAGACACCCTTTGTGCTAAGTGCTGTGCTATCTAGTCTGACACAGAATTCCACAGGCTTCATTCAGCCCATGTTGAATGTACATCTTGACCTGTTTCCTTGACTAAGGCTTTGAGGTCATACATTGCACAGGTAAATTCTTCAGAAAGCTCATGGGCAATGCTGAAATAGAAGAGAGACAGACACACTGCCTGTGTCTCAGGCTAAATGAATGATTAGCCATTCTATTTTTATTTTCACAGTTACCCTCATAGAACATAAATCTGATGACATTCCTCTCCCTCCTCAAATACCTTTGATGATTTGAGGAGGGTGTAATTAGTAGAGACTCTTGGAGGCATGGGTTGTGGAGTTAGATCAGAATAGGTTTCAGTCCCGGCTCAAGGTTGACCTTGGGCATGTCAGCTGATCTGTCTCCAAGGCTCAGTTTCCCTTTGCTAAGCACAGTGGGGAAAATAATATTTATCTTAGGAAGTGAGTCTGTGTGTCTGTGTGTCTGTGTGCATGTGTGTTTAATGCTATGAGAAATCATGTTACGTGCTGACCACAGTGACTGAAACATAAGTCCTCAAAAAATAGTAGCAATACCGCATGTTCTCATGTATAAGTAAGGTAAACATTGAGTAAACATGGACACAAAGAAGGGAAAACAGACACTGGGGCCTAATTGAGGTGGAGGGTGGGAGGAGGGTGAGGATGGGAAAACGACCCATTGGGTACTACGCTGCCTACCAGGATGCTGAAATAATCTATACACCAAACCCTCGAGACATGCAGTTGACCCATGTAAAAATCCTGCACATGTACCCTCCACACCTACAGTAAAAGTTGGAAGGAAAATCAATAAATAAAAGAAAGTATCTGTAATTATAACGGTGGTGACACTATGACCATGACAGTGATGATGATTGCCTACAAATCCAGTGATCCTTAATGAACGCTGGCTCCAGCAGTCTGCCCCAGGCCTGCCCACTCACGTGCTATTTCTCAGATACACTCTGTTCTTTCTTGCCTTCATGCATTCATGTTCATTTTCCCACCTGGGAGGCCAGGGACTAGTAGGCTATTACCATTCTTATTATTTCTAACTATCTGTCTTTAAAAAAAGAGATTGATTAGTCACATATCAGCATTTCCCCAGATGCTGGATCTATTTTAATCTAACATTCCCTTTCCTTTCCCTTAAGATCCCAGTCTGTGTGGATTCCCTCAACTCCCTCAGGCAGAATGAACATTTTCTTCTTGCTCCTGCCCCAGTCAGCTCATGCATTATCCTATGTCGTCTTTAACATTATTGCCTCTCTGTGTGTGTTTTGCGCTAACCTAGCATTTCTTGATGGTAGGAGCTATGTCTTAAATATTGTTCTCTCTTAACATCTAACTGGTGCTGAGCACACAGGAGGTGCTTTATCTTTGCTGATTCAATATCCTAACAAATCTTTCTGGTGCTAAGCATGACCATTAGGGTCACTATAGTCATGGCTTTGTAACTTACAAATAGGCTCATTTTGCTGGAATCCAAGAACTCTCTGATTTCTGCTTAGAACATGAGATGGAGCAGAATCTGCTGAGTGAGTCCTGCCCCTGCTGATGCCCGCATAGTTCACTCTCTGATAACTGGGAGCCTAATCCATGCCTGTCCAGGCTTGGCTCTGCCCTGGGACACTGACAGCCCAGTGGAGCAGGGCCCCTGTGCTCTGCTTGCATCCACACACACGCACATTGGTCTGGTGACCCCCAGGGCTTGGACTCAGTTCTTGCTCCTCCCTGCTGGGTTGGGTACTGAGTGACAGTGACTGCCCCAAATACCACTTGTATAAATTAGCCTGAGGACATAAACCTGGATGGGAACAAAGGTTTCTATGATAGGATGATCATCACCAGGGAATTTATAATTGCAAATACTGGTAACATTTAAATGTCTAACAATAAAGGCCGTTTTAAAATAAATTGCAGTCCATCCACAGAAAGACAATTTATTCTGTTTCTGAAAACCTTTTGGTGAAATTAAGAAATGCTCATGAAATTATAACAAAACAAGACAAAGCCCAAGATACAAAACTGTATATACACAAAAACACATAAAATGGTGGGAGGAAGGAGATAGGGAGCTAATTAGGGTCAGCAGTTGGTATGGGAAATAGGGAGTCAATAAACAAACACCAACGTATGAGTTAGGCGAAGAGGACTGTCTTGTCCCCGAAAGGAAATTTTACCTGTAGTGTCAACTTCCTTTTGTTGAAATTGCACATGATTTGAAAAAAGAAAGAGGAGGAGGGACCTACTAAATGGGCACTTGGCTATCTTTTACCATTTGCTTTTCTTATTTGACTCACTTTTCCACAGTTTTACTAATAGGAGTGAAGAGAGATAAATGATATTTTTTTAAAATAAGAAAATCAATAGAGGCCAAGAAAATGGGTTGCAAGTTGGTTAAATGGCTGCTCTCTCTGTGGCACCAGTGACCTAGAGACAAATCCCCTCTCCCTCTGAATCAAACTGTGAGCTCTCAGAGGCCGTAGCAGCTTTTGAACTTAGTGGTTAGGAACCCTGGGTAGCCTTTCTCTGCTTCTTGCTTGCTGTGAGGTTCTGGGCAAGTCACTTGGTCTCTCTCGACTTTGGTTCCGTTTGTCAGCAGAGGAAACAATAGACATAATGTGGCTGTGAGAAGTGGATTAAGCAATGCATGCCAAGCCCTTGTGCAAGTACGCCATGCATGGTGGGTGGGCGCCCATGCTTTGGGTGGTGGCGGTGGTTTTTTTAACTGAGATGTCTGGTTATTTCTTAGGAGTTTGCACAGGGCTGAGGGCAGCAAGCTTGTTATTTTCAGTGGTTTACTTTTTGGCATTCTTCTTCATACCTAGTGAGGATGTTCCCTTCTCTTCGTGTCTGCGTTCACTCCCACTTCCCTCATCCTCACCTTGACCTGTTTCCCTTTTCCGTGACCTGCCACCACAGACATCTAGCCATACTGTTATTTTGGTCCTATGGATTCTAGAGTTTTTACTGAATGCCGTTCACTATGATCTTTGCCTAGAACAGTGGTTTTCAAATGGGGGCAGTTTTGCCTCCCAGGGGAATGACTGGAGACATGTTTGCTGTCACAGCATGGGAGGGAGGGTTCTTACTAGAATCTGGTAGCTAGAGGCCAGGGATGCAGCTAAATATCCTGCAACACACAAGACAGCCCCCATAACAAAGAAATATCCCACTCAAAATATCAATAGTGCCACTGTTGAGAAACCCTGTCCCCGACTGAGGGGTGCAGCGTAGGGGACAGTGACTGAGGGAGCAGGGTGTGATCTCTGCACCCGCGATGTTGAGAGATACTTGTGAAGGCTCCCATTCTGCAATTTCGCCACCCCCACCCCAGCTGGACCAAAAGTGATCCAGTTTTCAGCTGAAAGGAATAATATGGTGCTTTAGTTCTCTATTTTCTGTCTTAAGGAGCTTTGTAGAAAGGACCCTGAATAGATCGTTTCAGCATGTCCTCTGACTCCACTGCCAGACTGTGAGAGCTCCTTTCCACAGACTACAGAGAGACCTTGTCACCTAATTGCATCGTTGATGCATGGTGTGCTGCTACATAAGTGCTTTGCCATTTCCAGAGAGCTGGCACATAGATTATCTTCAGATCCGTTCAACATACCTGAGAGGTGGGGACTGCTAGAATTTCCTGCCAAGCCTCTCTGAAGCACCTAAGTCAGACAGCTAAGAGGCAGTGGACTCAGACCTAAGCCAAGACCTCCCTCAGCTAATGATGACAGCGAGAGCCACAGCTACTGCACTGGAATTGTCTCATTCCAGCCGACAGCCCTCTGCTGGGCATCATATGACTTTTTCCATTTTATGGATGAAGAAATGAAAAGAAGCAAAGGTGAACTCATTCATCCACAGGATTGCTGTCATTGGGATATCTTATTAAATGTAAATATAAATCCCAGACCCGGCATAAGGAGGGAAATGTTTCAGGCACCATATGCTATTGGCTTGCAAGGTTTCTTCATTCTAAATTTACCATTCCCTCACTAGATAAAGACCCTGAGCTGAGACATACATCTTTGTTTTAGTTAAAAATGGAATCCATAATTACACTGTTTATCTGCTCCATTTCCTTAATGAAGGGGACTGTGGAAGCCCATTTCTGCTTGATTATCACAAAGGTATCATTTTGGTGAAGTTGCACAAAGAGAACAGAGCTTGCTGGCACCCGGTTGTGAACAGGGGTGCATTCACAGAAACAAAAGAAGAGGAAGGCTTTTCAAATGGCAAATCTATTCATTGCCAATTGTCTGCACATAATTACTGTGAACCCAAGTCAGTTATTCTCATCAGGGACATTTGTTGCTAAGGGAAAAGTAAAGAAATTCACTTGTGCGGATGCTCCCTTGGGTGCTTCATTGTGAGTGGGTGATAGGTCATGGTGACATCGGCGTAACTGGGACAGGAGGCACAGCAGTGTGGGCTCCAGGATGTGAGGGCCAGGCTCACATCTGGACCCCATCACTCACTGCAGTGTGACCTTGGGCGAGTGTCTTCATTTCTGAGCTTTAGTTTCTTCATCTGCAAAATGGGACAGTAGCAAGGACTTGCTTATTCTGTGGTGATGAGGATTTTGCCCATGCTAAGGGCCTGGCACAGGGTTTGGCATGTAGTAAGTGCATAGTTAAGATTGATGGTGAAGGTGGTGGTGGTTTGCTGTGTGAGTTAATGATGATTGTGATGAGTCATTCTCTGTGGGACCCACGGCAGGCAGTGTCTGCTTCTGGAACCTCATTTTTCCCTTCTGGAAAAAGAAGGAGTCAGCCAAACTGAGCTCAGTGATCCTTGACTACCTACAGCTTTGTAAGATGTGAGTTCTGAGTGCCTAAGACTTAAAACAGTATCCAATAGGGTTAGGCATAGTGGCTCACACCTGTAATCCCAGCACTTTGGGAGGCCAAGATGGGCGGATCACTGAGGCCAGGAGTTCGAGACCAGCCTGGCCAACATGGTGAAACCCCTGTCTCTACTAAAAATACAAAAAAACTAGCCAAGCATGGTGGTGCATGCCTGTAATCCCAGCTACTTGGGAGGCTAAGGCAGGACAATCATTTGAACCCGGGAGGTGGAGGTTACAGTGAACCGAGAACACACCACTGTACTCCAGACTGGGGGACAGAGTGAGACTCTGTCTCCAACAACAACAACAAAAATAGTATCCAGTAGATTGCAAGCGGCCTCGGTTATTGGTTTGAAACTCCATAGATAAATAATAGTGACTGCACATATATGTGGTGTTTTCCATAGCACTCTAGACAAAGTAAGTTCTAGCCATGTTATTTAAATTAAATGTGACCATGGCTTTATAGGATAATTCACGTTTCCCAAAAGCACATCAAGCAACTTCCAGCCAATAGTCGTGCTGCAAATAGACCCAACGGTTTATCACTATATCAGCATGGAGTGCCCTACGATTGTCAAAGGAAAAAGAATTTCATCCCCAGAAAGGATCAGAGCCAAATGAGTCTCACCATTGAGAGTACTGGACCCATTCCATCGTAACTGGGCCTAGACAATTAGAATTAGAGATGGTGCAATTATCAGGCTTATTCAAATCACGTGTGCTGCCTATCCCAGCCTGACCCAAAGACCTTTCTTATTTTTTTTCATTGGCCGAACTTCACAGAGCAGTTAAACATACACACGCTGGAGCCAGACAGCCCAAGGTCAAATTTTGGTTCTGCCACATACTCAGTGGATGAATTTGGGCAATTTACCCTCGTTCTTTTTCCTCCATTTACCATCTGCAAAACAGATAACAACTGTTCATACCTCATAGTTTATTTTTTAATTTTGTCATATTTTACTATTAAATAAATTAATACATATTAAGCAGGACAGCATCTGGAACGCAGCAATTTCTCCATAAATTTAGCTGTTATGCCATCATTAGGTTTTTATATTCCGTCTGCATGCTTGTGCCGCTTCCACTTATAACCTACGCTATTGTATACTTAAATCTTTATTTCATTTCAAGGGACTCACTTTTTTAAATTCAAATAATTTAACTATGAAAAGAAAGTTTTATAAACTGAAAACCAGAATGATTTGCCACACAGAGAAATCAGTTGTGAAAATAAGAACCATGAAAATAAAAAGTGTTACCAAATTTTAGCCAGATCCTATGAGCTTTGTGTTTGGCCTCTTCAGCTTAAAGGGAGAGGAGAGCAAATGAAAGGAAGGAGTGTAAAAGATAGAAAGGTGGTAGAAACTCCCTACTGTCAAGCAAAGATGTCCTCCTTACAAAACAGAGGCACTGAAAAAGATGTGGGAAGAGACTGATGTTCCCACCACGTGGCTCTTCTGTGCTGTTACTGTTGGGCCTGGAGCACCTAAAATTCACCTTACCCTCCACCTGAAAGGCAAGAAAGAAATGTGTCATAAGGGACAGAGATTCTCACATTTTTTGGTCCATTGTATTCTATTTTATGTTTGAAAACACTATTCAGGAGAGTCATTCTTGTATTCAGCAGGCATTTAATGTTCCGTCCAATGAGCTAGCATCTTGGGGACAAAGGGACAGTGTTTGGAACCTGGCCTTTCTGGAGAATGACTACCAGCACTGTACAATCAGTGGAGTCAGGAGTCAGAGAGGCAGCCATTTGCTTGCCTTTTCTACCAAAAAGTGATGGTTCAAAAAGCCTAACTCCATGAAATAGCACAAGTACAGCATGAGTCACGATGGTGGTAAAAACATACACTTAAGCAGCACTCACAGTGTGACAGCTACTGTCCATGTAATTCATTTGATTCTCAAACAACCACACAAGCTTGGTACTGCTATTCCCGTTTAGCTGATGAGGACACTAAGGTGTAAAACGGTTAAAAGCTCACCTGCTGTCGCACAGCAGTGGCAGGATTCATTGCCTGGAATTGGTGCTTTTAGCTACTACAGAACTAGCCAGCCTCTGGCCTGTGGGTGGTAACACTTGCTAATGAGTAGCATTTCATGAAGGCTGTGTGTATGCATGTAGGTGGGCAAAAGTGCGTGCATGCTTCACTCTGCTAAGAGCTGTACATGCTTTTGTTCATTTATTCCTCAGAACGATCCTGTGAGGTTACTATAGACATTTCCCCTTAATGTCAGCGATCAGTTACTGAAAATTCTATATTCTGAGTGAAAGAGCTGATGAAGAGTCTACTTCCTTTTGTTTTAAATAATAAAGATTAAATGCATTGTGCTCCAACCCCAAACCCTCAACCAATTTCCTCAAAATAGTTAAACCTCAGTGAAAAGCCTACATATAAGAAACCATCATGTTAGGATACTACAAATGCTTAGAATCGCTTCCTGATCACCCCACAAGTGTTTCGTTGTTACCCCACAGTTGTTTTTTGTGCAGTAGCACTGACGGCTCACTTAGTGCCAGCAGCATCCCACAAGGAGAGTGGACAAAACATCTCCCTGTAGTTCTGCCCACCAACCAGTTATATTTGGAATGTAACATGAGACTTTGTTCACACACAGTTTTGTTAAAATCCTATTGAATTTTGGAATTGTAAATGTAAATACAATTTTTTTTTCCTACAAAAACAATAACTGAAGGCTTTGTACAAACTGTGGTATTGGAAATCTATAAGCATTCTCTTGGGGGAAATGCTAACAAGTAGACCTCCTGTGAAGAGTACCTGTACTACTAGCATCCCCATTTTACAGATGAGAACGGTGAGGATTCACTAGAAGTAGCAGAGCGGGGATTCGTACTCCAAACTTCTCTTACTTCAGAGCCTTCACGCTTAACCACTATGCTGTAGTGTCTATCATTATTGTCATCGTTATAATGTCACAATGGCTTCATTAGAATGATACCGTTATCTTTGTTATTGTTGCTATTATTATTATTATCATTATTTGACATTTACTGAACACTCATTATGTTTCAGGTACTGTACTAAGTAGTCAACATACATTGTTTTATTTACTTCTCACATCAACTTCTGATAGAACTTGATTATCCTCAATTTACAAATAAGAAAATTGAGACCTAGTGAGGTTTTGGATCTTGCCCACTGGACAATCAACTGCCAAGCCTCTACTGAGCACCTACTATGTGCTCATCCACGTACCAGGGTTATTTAGTGCTTTAAAATTGACATGGCATATTATTGGACAAAGAGCTTCATAATAGTAGGATTTGGTTCATGGCTGTGCTTCAAAGACATTACGTATTTTACTATTTCATATTTCAATTTTCTTTCTATAATAAAACCATGCAATTGTATCATGACCTTTGTCTCACCCTAAATAATATGGTATAACTTATACATTTATTCAGATATACATATGTGTTGTTGCTAAGTTTGAGTAAGTCTGAGGTCAGAGACCCGATGACTGATGTTGTCCCAGAAATTTGAATTCTTGTGATGCATAAATGATAGCTGATCAAGCCAACACAACTGCTGGAGGAATTATAGCTTACAGAGTTGCTTGGCAGATGAAATCACTTGACTAATTAGAAAATAATGCATTATGCTGTGCTAGAAAAATCACAGAGCAGCAGAAGCGGAACTGTGTTCTGGGTTGCTGTGGGCTGCCAGTCACAATATTGAGCTTGTGCCTTGCATTCTTTACCTTTTTTTTCCCCCTATCCCTACAGCCCAGAAATTGAAACAGACCCTGGAGCCTTGTGATACTGAATATCCGGCATTTGTCTCTGAGCGCACCATCAAGGAGACTACAGGGAATATTGCTTGTGAAGACTGCTCCAAGTAAGCCATTCCCCCACCCTCTAACCCCCTACACCTTTCTGCTCGGCACAGAACTTTCCCAGATAGGTCTGTGTGACTTGCAGGCACAGTTACACCAGTAGAAAACATGGCTGCCCTCTTGTGTAAGGAAGTATTTCTGTCAGCTTAGAAGAAACACCACTTGGCTTTATAAGATATTCTAAACACTGGGAAGCATTCAGAATGCATGAAAATACATCCTGCAGTATAGGAGATGTGTAGGTCAGTTTGTTCATGTTTTGAGAAAGTTCTTATTGGTGCTTTCTCAATTGACAGTTGGCAATTTGAACTGTGTGTTCGAGAATGTCCTTATGTATCTTTACTGAAGGCAGAAGCCTTCAGGATTTACCCAAACCTGATAAATTGGAAATGTTTCTTGGTGATTGAGTATGCATTTCCCTGATTGCTAATGAGACTGAGCCTCTTTTAATGGTTTTATTGGTTATTTGGGGTTTCTGACCTCTTTATTCCAATTGGGCAGTTCCCGAATGGGTGGTTAGATCTATTCTTATTGATTTGGGTGTTCTTTCTCTTTTGGATACTATTTCTTTACAATCGTATGCATTGTATGTGGGTCTTCCTATTCTGTGGTTTGACTCTTTACAGATGCCTTTTTTATTTATTTATTTTTTTAAGAGACAGGGTCTTACTATGTTGCCTGGGCTGGTCTCAAACTCCTGGGCTCAAGAAATCCTCCTGTCTCAGCCTCCCAAGTAGCTGGGACTACAGGCACACAATGCACCGAAATTTTCTTTCTTTCTTTTTTGTTTAAGTAAGTCTAGTCATGGGCTGAGTTCCCACCTATATGCAGATCTGTTTCCAGATCTTATGGTTTGTTAATACCTATATATAATACCATATCTTTAAAATTATTATAGCTTTATAATATGATTTGGTATTTAGGAGAACAAGCTCCTTTCCTTATTCTTCTTGTAAGTTTTCTTAATTATTCTTGGCTCTTTACTCTTGCATACTTATTTTGGAACTAGCTTGTTAATTTCCACGAGTTTTTTTTTTTTTTTTTTGAGACGGAGTCTCGCCCAGTCGCCCAGGCTGGGAGTACAGTGGCGCAATCTCAGCTCACTGCAAGCTTCGCCTCCTGGGTTCTCGCCATTCTCCAGCCTCAGCCTCCTGAGTAGCTGGGATTACAGGCACCCGCCACCACGCCCGGTTAATTTTTTTTGTATTTTTAGTAGAGACGGGGTTTCACCATTTTAGCCAGGATGGTCTCGATCTCCTGACCTCATGATCCACCCGTCTCAGTCTCCCAAAGTCCTGGGATTACAGGCGTGAGGCACCGCGCCTGGCCCATTTCCATGAATTTTGATAGGGTTTTGGTTAAAATTTCTGTAAATGGTAGGTCAATTTAAAGATAATTGCTATTTTTTATAATAATTGGACTTCCCATTAATAAACTAAGTATGTCTCTTTAGTTACATGCCTTTTCTATGCCTTTTAATACAATTTTATAACTTTATATATTTATACCTACATACCCATAGTTTTTCTTCTATCATAAATAGTATATATTTAAAACTACTTTTCTAATTTGTAAGTACTAGTATATGAACGTATCACTGATTTCTGTATATTGAATATTGTATCCAACACGCTGCTAAATGCTCTTTGAGATTGACTTGTTTGTGTATGGATGCTCTTGGACTTTTTGCATAGACCATAATATCATTTGTGAAACGTTTACTTTCTAATCTCCATACTTAATTATTGTTTTCTGTTTTATTGCACTATACTTCTGACACATCGTTAAATAGAAGCAATGAGATTAGGCAACCATGTCTCATTCCTGATTTAAAGGAAGTGCCTCCAATAATTACATGTTAAGTATGTTTGCTAAAGGACTTTTTTATTGTCATAAAATATAAAGAATATAAAATTTACCATTGAACCATTTTAAAGTGTATAATTCAGGAGCGTTAAGTATATTCACAATGTTGTGCAACCATCACTATTAATTATATAATTGCTGTAGATTTTTAGTAGTAACAATTTATGAGGCTAAAGAAAACTTTTGTAAGAGTTTTTGTTGCCATTGTTATTGTTGAAATCTAAATGGATGTTGAATTTCATAAGAAGGTTCTACATCCATTACAAAAAAATTTTCCTTAATTTGTTAACATGTTAAGTTACATTACTATTTTTAAAATTTTAAATCATGAAATATATATATACACATATAAAATACTTCTAAGTTTTCTTGGTTATTCTTGACTCTACTCTTGCATACTAATTTTGGAATTAGCTATTAATTTCTATGAATTCTGACAGAGTTTTGATATGTATAATATATGTATTATATATACATATCATATGTATGTATTGTTTGTATATTTCATGATATCTATAATCATGTATATGTCATGGTTTTATTTTCATGAAATAAATATATAATGCATATGTGTATGTATTATACATAATATATGTAGTATATATTACATATGTATAGTATGTATATATTACATACTTTGTATGTAGTATATATTATTTATTAATAGTATATAGAATGTGTAATGTGAAAATACACTTGCTTTTTCAGGATGGACCTTCGTTGTCATAAACAGGCCAGGCGCGGTGGCTCACGCCTGTAATCTCAGCACTTTGGGAGGCCAAGGCGGGTGTATCACCTGAGGTCGGGAGTTGGAGACCAGCCTGGCCAACATGGTGAAACCCCGCCTCTACTAAAAAATACAAAAATTAGTCAGGCATGGTGGCAGGCACCTGTAATCCTAGCTACTTAGGAGGTTGAGGCAAGAGAATTGCTTGAACTCAGGAGGTGAAGGTTGCAGCAAGCCATTATCTTGGCACTGCACTCCAGCCTGGCAACAGAGCTAGACTCCGTCTCAGGAAAAAAAAAAAAAAGTAATAATATTTTACACATATTGCTGAATTCAATTTACTTACATCGTGAACTTTTTGTTTTTATGCTCAAAAAGGAGAGTGGTAATACTTTTTCTCCTTGCACTGTCATTTGGCTTTCCTATTAAGGTCATTTTATTGCCACAAAATTACTTACAGTTTCTCTCTTTCTGTAATATCCGTAGCATTTTATAAAAGATGGAATCCAGTATCTGTTTCTTGAAGATTTGGTAAAACTTATAAAACTATTAGTGACTGGTGGGATTTGTATATGTGTGTTTTTTCGTGTGTGTATAAATTTACAACTATGAAATTAGTTTCTTTTGTGGTTAGAGATTTCTGGATTTTCTTTTTCCTTTTGAAATGGTTTTGGTGATTATATTTCTTAGAAAACTGCCTATTTCACCTCATTTTTCAAAGTTATTGCAGGCATTGTTGATAGTGTTTTCTTTTGATTAAAAATGTTACTATATTTGTGATTTTGCCCCCTTTTAAAGCTTGTAATTGATCCTCCCTCTTGCTCCCTTTCCTCTTGCCTCCTTCCCTCTCTCTCTCCCTTTTCATACTGCCAGAGATATGTTTGTTTTATCTTTCTTCTATGAATCTTGAGTTTACATTGTTTTTTATTTTCTAATATTTTGTATTTGATGCTTAGGTTTTCAGGTTCATTTTATATGTATATAGATATACCTATAAGCATATATATGTCTAGGTATACATTTCTCTCTGCATTCCAGTGCATCTCTAAATTTAATATATATATAAGGCCTTCATTCTTATTCATCTCTAACGAGTTTCTAGTTTTTACCATTTTTTGATCTGTCAATGCTTAAATCATGTTTTAAAATGTCCAAATATATGGGATTTGAGGCCATCCTTTTTATTATTGAAGTCTAATTAAATGGCCTTGTGGTCTGTATAACACATCTATTTTAGTGTTTGTGGAAACTTGCTTTGTATTTCCAGTCCTTGTCCACATGTTTTTGAAAGCAAGTTATATTATCTAATAGCTGGGCACAGGGATCAATGTGTGTCCTTTGGACAAAGTATACAAATTGTGTTTCAAACCTACCTTTATTTTCAGTCTATTTTAGATGTCATTTAATCTCTCACCAGGCTTATGGATGTTTTTGTGCCATTCAATTCATTTTGCTTTCTATATTTTGAAGTTATGTTACCATGGACATCCCTGTTCATGATTATCATAGCTGCCTAAGAAATCATTCCTGTTGTCACTATGTAATAACCCTCTTTATACATGAAAGTGCTTTATGTCTTAATGTCTATTTGTTTTGTTAATAACAGAGGTACATTAGCTCTATTTTGGTAATATTTGCTGGCCATATTTTCCCCTTTCCCTCCATTTTCAACCCTTTTTCGTTATTTTGCACTAGGATTTTGTTTTATAAACAGAATGTAGCTGGATTCGAAGTTTTTATTATTTCTGTTATCTGATAGTTTAATCTTTAAAAATTTATGGTGCTTACCAATAAGTTTGGAATATTTCTACCATCATTTTATATGCTCTGTATTCCTCATGTTTTTTCTTTGTTCCTTTCTTCTTTCTTTCCTTCCTTCCTTCTTTTCCTTCTTTCCTTCCCTCCCTCCCTCCCTCCCTCCCTTCCTCCTTCCTTCCTCTCTCTCTTTCTCTCTCTCTCTTTTCTTCCTTTCTTTCCCTTCAGTTGGATTGATTGGGTTTTCTCCTTTTTTTTTGGTATTCTATGTAAAGTACACACTATTCCTTTAGTAGTTACTCTTTGCCTTTTTAATATGTTTCAATTGGTGAGGCTCTCCTCCCTCCTCCAGAGCAAACAAAAGCTTAGATTTTGTTAAGTTGAATTACCTCCCATCTCTTTCATATAATATTTTCTAACCTTCTAGTTCTACTGTTTTTAATCCATGAAATAATTATTACTGTTGTTGCTGCCTATAGTAAATAACATGTTTACCTGCATTTTTATATGTTTATAGTCACTTTGATTTAAAAAAAAAATTGCTTTTTGTTTTACAGTGCTTTAGAAGTTTTTCCAAGAATGATCTGAGAGTGATAAATTATCTCATTCTTTGTCTAAAATCCCTAATTTAGTATGTACTCAACAGTGATGATT